GCACACACACGCACCTCCCCCCACAACATAAGGTAAATTGCATACCTTTAATCTGAAGAAAAGGGGATGCACTGAAAAAGGATATTTCCTTATGCATATCCTCCTGCATCAAATTCACTTCCTCTTCCCATTCTTTCCATATTGAAAAGGTAGAAAAGGAAAGAGGAGTAAACTTATGCATACACTTACATATATTTTAACACGAAATCTGTCTCCTGTATGGTCGTGGTATTACAACAGAACCCATTCATGCACGATGTGGTTGTTGCTGCCACTCTTCAATGATTACCATCATCACAGCCATAATCACCTGATAACATGATTTCCAGATCGAGACCGAAAAAGAAGATAGAAATAATAGACAATATAGAGATAGAAGATAGCTCAGAGGAGTCTGACGACAGTCTACCGGAGCCCGAAATTGACAATCCTCTGATAGAAGTGACGCTGGAGCCCAACCTGAGGGAGGTGAGGCCGGAGGAGTTGGGGCAGGACGCGGCGCTGGTCAGCACCAGCCTGGAGATGGTGCACGATCCTCTGCCCGAGAGGCATGCTGCTGATGATACTATACATTATTTAACTTTGTCTTATACTTGAATTTTATTTCACAATCCTCCCCGTACACTTCAATGAAAATCATTAAAATCAAATGTCATCAAAATAATGACTTCACTAAAATGCTCAAAAAACCATAAGAGAGGAATCGATGGAGGAGTTTGTCAATTCCATTTAACAAAAAACATTGTTTTGTCATCGCATACTGCAAATATGTTTGTCTATGAGCATGTCACTTCGCTATTTTGGCGAATTCAAGTAACCGCTTGCTCATTTGTCACCTTTTGTTATCAAAAAGCAGAAATAGCTATTAGTTAAGTTAGAGAAATGAGAGTAAAATGAAGTTTAAAATATTTGGTTCTTATTAATGTAAAATAAAACATGTTTGTGTATTGCAGCAAGTATATTAAAATGTAATACAACAACTTGCATATCACAAATAATACAAAATGTCGGACAATTTACATAAAACAAATTTGTAAGTTATAATACTTTACACTAAATCTTGATATTTGTATTGACAGAAATGAAAAAAAAACTGTTAGAACCACTTTAAAATATCTATTTTATATATAATCTACATTTCTATGTTATGTAAAAGATAATCTGACAGCAGATGAGATGTTCAACAATTTGTCCAACATTATTTGTATATAAACAAGTTTTAATGCAAGTATTAAATAATTGTTTAAAAAATACACCTCAAATGGAATAAAATCTAGTTATAACTTAACTTATACAAATATATAACATATCTAGTGTAAGTTTACAATATCCCGTTGTAATGTGAACGCCTCGTAAACATGTAACGCGACAATCCTTAACTTTTAGATTCATCCTTCTTGTCTTGGCTCTCCGGCCTCCTGCCCAGCAAATCTCTTTTCACTCCGCTGTTCTCACACTGAAAAAGGCAAAAATATTTATATACATATTCAACTCTGAATTAAATAACATAAATATTTATCAAGTTTATGTTATCAAAGTACACAATTAAATATATGCATGTGATAAAAGAAACTTCAGAATTGTACATTCCAAGCAACTGTATCGAAAACATATTGTCATTCATTTCTCATACACTTTAAAAATAAATATCAATACGTTTTTATACAGAAAGTAAATAGCGTATATATGTTAATATAGATTACTATCTGTCGCCCGCGACACCGTCCGCGTGTTTGTCTAAAAAATAAATTAGGGGTGGACTACCTTTAACATTTAGTGGGATGAAAAATAGACGTTAGCCGATTCTCAGACCTACTCAATATGCTCTCAAAAATTCATGAGAATCGGTCAAGCCGTTTCGGAGGAATATAGGAACGAGAATTTTATATATAAGATTTTCTACACCTGTGCCAAATTTCATCAAAATCCGTTGAACTATTCCGGAGATATCTTCTAAGAAACTTCTGGACTTCCGCATTTATAATATTAGTAAGAAGAAATATTTGCAGAATGCCATAATGTAACTACTAAAGAATATGTTAGAGAATATCTTACAGTGTCACAATCACTTGAGTCATCAGTATCACTGGAGGTGTCCGTGTCGTAATGTCCCAGTCCGGGCAGGATGGCCACACACCGCAGTGCTCCTATGTCACCTGCACCTGTAGCCGTCGCAGTGGTGGCTGTCTCTGATTTACCATTCTGTTGTATAGTACTGTGAAAGAACATTCTGATTAGCAGCTATTTTATAATTTACAAAATAATCTAACTGTTGTTGCAAACTTCGTTCATTCATTGCTAAATTGTTATGTGATAAAAACGAAATCTGTACTGTGGAATCCAGATCAAAGGTAGCCAATACATTACAGGTCAAAATTACCAGAAACATGCCCATACATCCAACTTTCGCATTTATAGTATCACACGCAATAAAAAAAAATCTTAGCCTTTATGTTCTTCCGTAGCCTTGAAGAACAGATAGATAGGCAGGAAGACAAATTGATAGGCTACTAATTAACTATGCCAAATTTGAGGTAGATCCATGGAGCTATTTTGAAGATATCTTCCATCCATATATCCAAACATTCACATTTATAATATTAGTCAGATAAGTATACTTGTTGATAATTCCATTTTTAGGTGGCGATGATGTTTTCTCTGGTTCTGTTTTGTCTGTCTTGTCTCCTTCCATCTCACTTGCTTTCCTTTTCCTTACAACAACCTGGAATTACCATTACTATCAAACTAAAATTGTAAACTGGGATGTTGAACATATCAGGATATTTGAGAAAAGAGAAGGTCAAGGTTGAGCCTTATAATTTTTTTTATTTGTCATACACTCTTGTACTAACCCCTTGCAGTTTATTCTTAGCAGGCTGTGTGGAGGCAGTAGTGCGGGTTGGAGCGAGCTGAGCACGCAGTCTGATTAGTTCCTCACTCTCAGCTAGATTTGATACTCTCTCCCTGAATAACATAATTTATGGGTTTACACTCACACAAAAACATATCGGCAATCTATTCATTCATGTTAAACAAACTGAAACAACAATATTTTATAGAGATGAATCTTCTATTTTCATAACATACATATAATTTCTTTCTGAACAAAAATCACAACAACTTGTTTTGACTTTTTGCAGTGTAAACACTAACCTGAACTCCTGCATTTCCTTCTGTTCTTCAAGTGATATCTGCTGAGCTGCCTTCGCCTTGGTTCTCTCCACCAGGTCCAGGAAACCTACTTCATCATCATCTAGACCTCTGATCATGTTCTCTGAAGAAATAAATGTGAATGTTTATATCATTTTTACTGGAATGACCAAAACCAACTAGGCATCACAATAAAAAAAATATAAAAGTAAGACCGCACATGCTAGGCAAACATAATATTACCAATTTACTGTAAATAAAAATGTAATAACATCTGTTTATAATAAACAGTAAAATTATTTAAACAATATTATTACATAAATAAAAGGAATATAAATATTAGATAAGCTACACATAACAGCTTGTTATTTCTACATTCATTGATATTGAGTAATAACTACAAGTTACAAACCATTTTTAACACATTCAATGCTACTACTAATTTTTATGCACCAAACAAAACTGAAAGGGGATCTCCATTGAATGTGTTATGTGGACACATATATGGAGATTACACAATTACTTACTCAGTTTATGTGCTTCTTCATATTCAGCTTCCTTTTTCATTCTTTGCTCTTCCAAGCGATGGTACAGCGGCCTTGTGTCATACGCCTCTTCTGGTGCCTCTGTTTACAAATCACTGTTATCACTTTTTTCCAATATGGAACATCAGAACATTGCTATCAGTTAGAAAAGTGGGAACTGATGATAAATTGATATTTTGTTGCTTCAAATAATATTACCACCGTATATTTACGAGTTCCTTATCTACAGTTCGTAGATAATTTGCTTACAGTCACTAAGATTATTGCAATTTGTATTAATGTGCAGTTTATACACAAAATAGTTATGAAAGCTATCATCCTTTTTTATGATAAAAAATATGTAATTCGTCTAACAATCTAGTTTTGATTACCTTTAGGTTGATCTTCGGTTCTCACTTTGTCCCATTCTTCCTGGCGTCTTCGTCTCGCTTCCAATATCTCAGATTCAGATATAAATCCAGAACTCATTGTGTAAGTTTCCAAATATGTAATGAAAATATTTTATAAGAATTATTTACCACACTTCGTAGGCACTCAATAATAACCTTGTCGCCTTTTTGATTCGATGGATATGACAACTTCAAAAACTACATACAAACAACCAAAGAGGATATAAAATTCAAATGTCATAATTTGATACAGATAACGAATTATTTTTGTCGCATATTCTATGAAACATTTTCGTTTTTATTTCTTGTATCATCCTTTCTTAATAGTTTTTAACAAAACATATCTACAACATCGTTAGTATAATAAGAAATATAAAAATTATTCATATTCTCTATTAGTAAAATCCATTTTATATACTTATTTTATATACTCTTTTATATACTCTTTATTTATATATTTTATATACTCTTTGGTAAAATCATTTTTGAATTTACTCCTTGGTACAAACTTAACTTGAAGTAGGTCATAGATTGCGCATCGTTTTAGGTGGCTTGTTACGCTTAAAAACAATTATGATGAATTTCAATAATATTCATATCAAATTAAAACAATTGAAATGAATTTAAAATAAATATAAGATAAAATATTGAACGAGTAATTTCTTCAAATTATTATGAATTTAGAAAAACAAAATATTGTAAGAAGCTAATTTTCCACGTTTTACAACGTTCCCTGTAAATGTGTCAATGCATTTTGAAAATCTGTCATTTCATAAATTTTTACATGGAATTATCTTTTCAATTCAGTGTTTTTTCACAATTTGACCCACATTTGTGAATAAAATCGAAGTAACGATGTCAGAATCTGAGAACGTGGAAAAATCTGTTGAATTTCCTGAAACAGACTATGTAGAAGATGGACAAAATAAATTGATAATCAAATGTAAATATTGCACATCGAAAATTTTAGATAAAAAGTCTGCTAAGTATATCACTCAAGAGGTAAACAGTGTTCTTTATTTAATATTGATTCATTAAAGGAGCAAATTAGACCTGTAGTATGTTTAATTCCAGAAAGATCTGCCGCTAATGCAACAGGACAAAAATAAAGAGGGTGAAGTGCAAAGTGAAAAAATTAATCAGTTCTATCATGTTGAAAACATGTATACGTTCGAGAATATAGGCTTTACACATACTGTCGCCAACCACAAGTACCTAAGTTGTGCAGATTGTGATGCTGGACCTGTGGGATACTATGACATGGATACTAAACATAGTTATGTCGCACTTTCGAGGGTAGAACATATTTAATAATACTTTAATCACAATGCTATACCTCTTATGCTGTAGATAGATAATTTATAATAAAATGATATATCTTATCAAAGTTGCATAATAGAAATTTTCATATATCCAAACATAATTATGTCGGAAAACCTGTTAATATTCAAATAAATTTTTAAACAATAATTAATACTAGAAGAAATTTGATGCAATTAGATGGCAACAATATGTATGCATTAGAAAAAAATTAAAAATATTTATCTTTTTTCAAGTGATATAAATTAATATTATCTCTTAAGGTTTTTATCTCTAAAATCATTAATAATTGAGCAGATTTATACAGATTTCTCTCTTACATAATGTAGGTATGAAGTTTTATTACTATATCTATTGGAATTAAAACATTAATAAACTCAGTCTTTTCCTATTCTCATAATTAACTGAAATTAACGTAAAAAGTTACCCTGAATGGTAAAAAAATGTTCTACTTTATAAGCACAAATGCTCATTCAATCATTCCGATATGTTTGAATAAAAACAAAATTGTTTAATTTCAATTAGCTTTTAATTGTTCTATATTTTTAACACATTGAATGCTACTACTATTTTTATGAAATAAAGTGGACTTGCGCGATGAACATTGAATGTGTTATGTCTTCATCTATTTATATGATATATTTTATTGCTAAGCTTATAAAAATAGGTGGCATGTCTCATTGACTTATTGTCGGAGATCTCAACGACAAAAATGAATATCAATAGATAGTACATAATGATTTAATCAATATGATTACAATCTGAAATGCTTATTTACAATAAAAAATGACTTAAATACTGATGAATAAAATTATTTTTCTTTTTTACATTTTTAATTGGTTTTATTTACCTTTCTCTCTTATGCGATTGTGATAAATTTCAATTGCCCATTTATTACTTGATTTGAGTAGAATTTTTGTTTTAAAAGTTAAATCTAGTTTTATTTTTTTTTACTGTTGAAAATATTTATCTTTGAATACTAAATTTATATACAGTAGGTATGGTTTCCGTGGTGTAGCGGTTATCACATCTGCCTAACACGCAGAAGGCCCCCGGTTCGATCCCGGGCGGAAACATACTTTTTGACAATCTTAAAATTACAGATTTAAATCAATAATTAAAATTATTGTGTAAGTAATTTTTTCTTGTTATCGATTTTTTTTATTAAATTAAATATCCGATAGATGGCACTCTTACAAATTTATCCACGTACTTTTTTTTAAATTTTAGTCAATTATTAATAACGCAATTTTCATACAGAGATTTTGGTCTCAGAAAACAACGATAAGAAATGTTTATAACGCGATACGTTGCTCAACAATTGCCCAACAAGTTCTATCTAATAAAAGTGTTCCAAAACAAAAGTGTATTAAAAAGCTTGTGTCGTACTATCAGTTATCGATTCAAAGACAAAAAGATTTACAACATCTGACCTTTTGTATTGTCTATGTATAGATGTGTTAATTTTGTGCCTTTCAGTTTGTAATGTATTTTGATATTGATTGCAATTATGATGATTGTTTTATTAATGATGACACGTAAGTGGAATAATGGATTCCATTCACAATTCACACTCCTACTTACTGCAATATACAAAATAAAACAACCTCTCAATTTATGAAGGTTACAAATGTACAAGGTACAATTTTTTTTCGACCTTATCACCTTACCTTACTTAAAACTTACAGTAGGTTTTTGAGATCAAAACCTCCGTTTAAAACATATTGTTACATCTCTTATGTCAAAAATAATGACAAGAATTACGATATGTTTTATTCAGATATTCTGGTTTTAGAAGCCAACGATTATTAGCATATGATGTTGTAGTTACGCTGTAAATAAATGCACTTATATTTTTAATATCGTGTAGATTCAAATTCTTATTTTCAAAATAATAAAATTCACAGAATAATGATAGATTTTACATAACCTCGTGTTTGATATAAGTTCTAATATCGTATGTACGAGTGCGCGCACACGTTTTGTAAAATGAACCATTGTTATAACAGTAACGTGTATTATGTTAATGTGCGTAATTTCGCTATCATTCGGTATATTTGATGCAGTAAAAGTTAACTACAATCACCTTCCGCACTTTAAAATACATCATAATAGACATATTAAAGTTTTTTGGGTTCCGTACATTAAATAGACCTAAATTTGTTGGTTACTTTAAATTATAATTGATAAAACTGCAATATAATATGCCTGCGTGCAATAGCTACCTTCCAGTCCAAGTCTTGTCAAAATTAGTTCAGCAGTTCTGGAGATTATCCAGAACAAACGCGACCTTGTAGACAGATATACAGACAAAAATTTTAAAAATTGGTTTTCCATTATCAACAACGCTAATACAAATGATTTTTTTTTAGCTATTACACACAGGCACTACAATTTTATAACTATGTGTAGTTCTTTTTTAGGTACTCTTAATTTATCGGAATAATTTTTACATAACGCGTAATCTCTACCAACTGGTCGTAAATTCTGATAGTGAATGACGATTTCGAAACATTTATAAGTTTTCTAATAAATAGGTATATTATTTGTCGTGTTATATTCATCCTTTAGCTTTAAGGGCTTTATTAAAATGTATAATTTTGTTGTACAACGAATATATTTCAGCATAGCTTTTATTTCATAATGAAGCGTGCTTTGTACATCACGATACTGAAACGTTATTTGTTTGCGCAACTTATGTTGCAGGCTGTATCCGTGTCACTGTGTATTATTGCAATTAGTATTCGTCTAATGGTAAATACTTAATTAAAGGGTATGTGTCAAAAGATATTTTAGTCTTTAAATGTTTTTAAATGTATTTTATTATTCAGTTTCTTGGAAAGTAGAGACCCCACAAGTTGAGTAGAGTTTTGTGACGTGCCGATGTTACAGACTAAAGAGGAAAGATTGTATTCTTCGTTATTTTGCATTGAAGTTTCGAAATAATGAACGGTTTTGTAAAATCTTTTCGCCTATCCCCGGGCTAAAAGGGCTATACTCGTATTTATTACTACGTAGTCGCGGACACCTGTTATAAAACTTTGCGGATCTCTAATATTAAGTAAAATTACGTTAAACATTTATATTATCTAATTGTTTTTAATGGACATTTAGAATTGTGAGTAGAATTATATTAATTTGCTTTTTTTTAAATTAATTGTTTACTGTCACATGAAAGTCTATTTGTAATTTGAAATAAGATGAGTATTTTAATTGTAGTAATTATTTTTAGCGAAAAGCAAATGCAGTTAATTTTATTTATTATCATTGTTTAAAATTATAACCTCCTACTTTTGGAAGTCAGTTACTAACAGAGGCCCTGTCACGAGCTTTAAAGATTAGTGAACAAAATGCAACATCTGGACTCTTGTTATTTTTTAATCACGAATTAAGCTTGCTATTTAATTACCTTTTAAAAGAGCTTGTTACTTTAAAGTTAAGTCGTTTGTGATTTCAAGGTCATAAGACTCATTAGCTAGGTAAAATGACGCCGTTGAAAAATAGACAATAATACTTAATATATTAACGAATTTTTTTACAAAACACTGACTAAGGTCAGTGCATTTTTGTTGGTCTTGTGACCTCAAAACGATGGATGTATTCGAGGATTTTAATTTCCTACCCATACGGATGAGATGTCGCTCACAATGCTACACACATATGTGCTAAATTGTACCAATAGATTTCCTATTCTAAGTGGGAAGTGAATTAAATTCTTTGTTTTTACAATACAGTCGATGACAGAAGTGTTAATTTGACGAGAATACGTAATGTATAAAAGGTTGAATGTGAAAGTTGCAATGCCACCATGTTAGATAAAGTGTTACCATCTTCCAAACGACCATAATATGTAAACGTTTTTAATTCGCCACGGAAAAGGAATCGAAGAAAGTAACGCGAAATCACGCTTTAAAGGAAGACAACTAAGTACTAGAAAAAATGCAGACAGATTTTCCCAAAGCCAAAATATACCGAGGGTTTCTGAAACCAAAATCCCCGTTTACAAAATATTGTTAAGTCTGTTTTGTCAAAGATGAAAGGATGACGAGTTTTTGTAATACAAAGTTTGTGATCTCATAAATCGGAGTAAAAATATTATGTCACGAATTAAATGAATAACAAATAATAATACAATTTGCTTCTGAATGAAATTAAAACAAAATATGGGCCATCGACCGATCTATTATTATAATATTATTAATTAGGCATAATATTGCATGCAAAATATTTATTATTTGCGTAATTTTAGCATAGGCCGATGTTCATTATTAATTCTATAGACTTCTATAAAATGTAAATTAACGAATTAGTATTTACATGTAACATAAATGTTGCTATTTTTAAGATAATATTAAGATTATGTTGTAGAATAAATATTATTGCAAAATTATAAGATTAACTTGTGTTTTTTATTCGGCGATTATTTGCATAAGTATATTCTTTTTTTAGCCTCGATTTTTTAACATTTCGATATAATATTTACGAAGGAAAAATGTTATTTAATTTAAAAATTACTAAACATATTAAAAAAATTAACTAATTACTTATCATAAATAATGTAGCAGTCATCATCATCATCAGCTCCCTATACGTCCCCACCGAGGGACTCGGAGCCTACCCTAAGTTAGGGGTGACTTGGCCATAGTCAACCACGCTGGCCAAGTGTGGGTTGGTTGACTTCACACATATCTTTGAATTGCTTCTCAGATATGTTGCAGATTGCATCACGATGTTTTCCTTCACCGTAAGAACGTCGAATAAATGTACATATGTAAATCGAAAATCGAGAAACACATTGTTAAATGACGGAGACCGAATATATAATTATTATCAGTAGCATTGATTAATTTGTTTTACTTTTCATACAGATACATACATAAAATAATTTTGTTCGATCGTGTCAGAGTAGTCAAAGAATTAAATTCGCTTCCCATTTACGATCTAATAGCAATATTATAATCATAAGGTCATATTTAGTTTATCGTTAGTATAGCCTTAAACTTTATATAGTGTAAGTACTAAGTAATAGGCATTGTAGTATATTAATTTTGTATTCAAGATTTCACGAGGAATAATACATACACGTAATATAACAGTACCGGATAACTCTACGTTTAACATAAGAATGGTATTTACACAAACAAAAGTGTGTTTGTGTACAAATAAACATTAACATTGTCATTGTATTGAAAATA